CTGATCGAAAGCTACTGGAAAACAGCACCTACTACACGAGTCATTACACTTTTAGCGCTTGAAATACTATACCATACGATAAGTTCAATCCACACTGCATTATTAATATGACAAATCAAACTCTTGATGATAGTTGCAAAAGTAAAACTTTGGCACTGTGACGAAGAAACAATTCCAAAAACTCTAATGGTTCTTCAGGGTATTTATTTGTTTGGATTGCCTAAGATTCATAAAACTAATAATCCTTTACGTCCTATATTGTCTATTTATTGCTCCCCCACATATAAACTGGCGAAAATGTTAAATCTAGTTTTGAACGAATGCCGCAAGTTCTCATTAAAAGATACTTTTCAACTTGTTGACTGTCTTAATAACATGAATATCAAAAACAAGACTATGTACTCTTTCGATGCAAATTCGTTATTCACTGAAGTGCCGTTGTCCAAAACTGTTAACATTCTCTGTGACTTCATTTCTTGTAGAAAACTCCCATTTCCTATTACTTCAGCTTTTCTGACGGAACTATTATTTTTGTGTAGTGACAAGGTTCCCCTCTTATCTGAAGGTGAGCGATTTCGACAAATTGACGGTATAGTTATTGGTAGTGCCTTAGAACTATTACTGGCTGATATTTATGTCATGTGGAAAATCTGGCTGGTGATCTTATCGCTAAAGTTTCTCCTTACAAGATTTATGCTGACTTGTCTACTCAAACGATTTAACACCATATAAACTCATATCGGCCTGGCTTCTGAGAAAGAGAATAGTAATCATCTGCCATTCTTAGATGAACTCCTAAGTTGACGAGTAGATGGTTCAATAAGACCGTCAGCTTACAGAAAGCCCACGGTGAACAGGAGAATACCTGAATTTTCACATTTCCTATTGATCCAATGCAAACTAGATCTAGTAAGATGCCTGTTTTGTAGTATCTATCGTATTTCATATATATGAGATACGATGGACTATTAATTTTTTCCTTGGGTTCCTAGCGGAACATAGGGCCACAGTAGCACGTCTCCATTCAACTCTGTTCTCTGCGGTCCTTTGGACCTGGCGCCACGACTGCCCACAAGCTTTCATTTCTTGCACACATGATCTCCTCCATGCCACCGTCGCCGAGGGCGCCAAACTCATCGTTTCCCCCATGGATTCCACTCAAGTACCTGGCCTGGAGTGTGATGTCCCCAATCGGTCTTCCAAGTGTATGCCCAATCCAACCCATCTCCACTTCTTCTGCATAATTGTTGCGTGATAGGTTCTTAGTTGGTTTGTTGCCAGAGTTCCTTGTTGCTTATTCTTATCATTCTGACCATCTGATCTTCAGTATCGAGCCAGCGTAGGCAGCTCTTAATGAATGTCTGTAGTTTTTGGAAATGCTTTTCGTGACACGCCAAGTTTCTGAACCACATAGCAGTAGTGACTTAACGTTGGTGTTGAAAATCTTGATCTTGTTCTCTGTGCTGAGTGCGGTAGATCTCCATACTGATTTCAGATCAATGAAAGCCATCTTGCTTTTCTGATCCTGGCTTTGACATCCTCGTCTGCACCGCCACATGTACTTGAAACGATGCGGCCTATGTGGGTAGGTGAAAGAGACCACTTCCTTTAGGCTTCCCCCGTTAATAGTGATTGGTGCCTCTTGTTGTTAATGGTGTTGTTGGTTAGGTAACTTCATGACCTATGTCTTTTCTACATCCACTTGAAGTCCTATCTTCGCTGGCTCTTCTGTCAACTTGTTGGCTTTTACCTGCAGATGTTCGAGTTTGTGCCATAAGACACTAGACATAAATCATCGTCGACGAAATTCAAATCTTCTTCTCGGGTCTTTTCGTCGGTCTAGCCAGCGTATGCCCATCTTCTCACTCCTTATGTTTGGTGCATGACCCAGTCGACCACAATTAGGAAGATTATGGGTGGCAGTAGACAGCCTTGTTTTACTCGTCTTCACTTCAAAGGCATCACTGAGCTTTCCATTGTGAATCACTCGGCACGTGGTGTCTTTATAGGGTTGTTGAATGAGGTTGATAAAGGCTTGCGGTATTCCGTAGTATTGAAGCAGTTTCCAAATTACTTGTCGGTCGACGCTGTCGAAGGCCTTTTCAAAGTTGACGAAGTTAAGATAAAGAGTTGATTGCCATTCTATACTCTGTTCTATGATGTGCAGCGTAGAGCTGCAATTTGATCAGCACATGACTTGTTCTTCCTGAAGCTAGCCAGCCAGCCTGTTCCGGTCGTGATTTTGAATCAAGAGCGTCTTTCGTTCTCTCCAGGATGATGCGGCTTAACATTTTGCGTGATTCCGCATAAGTTCTTGCAAAGACTTGGGTCGCCCTTCTTCCAATTTGCAGGTACCTTCCCTTCCTTCAAGACCTTCTGCAATAGTGGTGTGAGCATGTCTGCTGTTGTCTCTGCGTCTGTTCTCAGTGCTTCTGGCGGGATCCCGTCTGGTCCTGCTGCTTTCCCACATTTCAGTAGCTTTATGGCGTTCAGGACTTCCATTTTTGTTGGAGGATTTATGTTCACTTGTAGTTGTGTGGCTTTAGGTGGTATTTCTGGACGAAGTGCAGGTGGTGGTCGATTCAAGCTTTTTGAAGTGGTCAGCTCATCGTTTCCTTTGTTTTTCCTCTTTGGTAATTAGATTTCCTTGGTCATCTTTCATCGGTTTCATCTGTATTCATCTCTTCCAAGAGAGTAACATGGTTATTTGATACAATGTCGTCGGCTTCTCTTACCTGTAGCCTGTTCTGCTTCACTTACAAGTGTGTCAAGGAGTGTCTTTTGTCTTTGCACGCACTCTTCTTTGTCCAGTGTTTTGTACGTTGTACTCAGTTTGTCTTTTTGTTGTGCATCCTCGCACTGGTTTATCTTCTGCTTCACCATCTTCCTCTCCCTGCTCTATTAGCTTCCATGTGTCCGTCTTGTATTGCATCTTCTTCCTTCATAATACGGTTATGCAGGTTTCTTCCCACATCTCTTTCAAAGAGTTCCGATGTTCTTCCACGCCCGATCTTTCAGGGATGTTGCTCAATGTCTCTCATTTGTCCTGATTACTGGCTGACGTGGAGATGTCCTTTGTAGTTTTGTCTTTCAGTTTTCTGTTCTGGGTGTTCAGCTTGGACTGTGGTCTACCACCAACTTCTTTCAAGGCTTTCAACTTGATTTAAAAAGTTCCTCGCACTAGATAGTGAGTGTATGAACCTACATCTGCTCGCCTTCTTGACCAGATCTTGTGTCCAGTAGGCTGCGTCTCCACCTTCACATTGAGATGAAGTTGATCTGATTTTCAGTGTAGTGCATCCTGGTGTCTGGTGAATTCCATGTCGCTTTGTTAGAATATCCTTGTGTTTTTACACACTGCCTTTTTTCCAATCATCAAATCGTTGAACGCACACAATTCTGCAAACAGTTCACCGTTCTCATTCATTTCACCGAGCGCTTCTCGACCCATGATGAGTTCTTTTCTTGTGTTGTCCGCTCCCAGTTCGGCATTCATGTCGCCCAATAGAATTTTGATGTCGCCAATTGGAGTCTTGTCTAGTACTGATTGCAGTTGCCTGTAGAATGCCTTCTTCTTCTCTTCATCTGCATTATTTGTTGGCGCGTAGCACTGAATGATTGTGACTTTCCTTCCTTTTGAGTTGAACCTTGCTGTCATGATCGTTGAGGAGATTGGTTCCCATAGCAAGAGAGCTTCCGATGCTTTTGGAGACATCATGATAGCCACTCCTTTTCTCCATGTGCTCGTAGTTGTTGTCTGGGTGACTTTTTTGGAGTAGATTATTGACTCTCCAGTCAACAGTTTGGAGATTCCACTTCCATTCCACCTGTTTTCGCAGATTCCTAGCACTTCTATGCTACACCTTCTCATCTCTTTTACAATCTTAGCGGCCTTGCTAGGTTCAAACATTGTGCGGACGTTCTATGTCCCTAAGCTTACTTTTGCTTTCATAGAGGAGAGAGAGGATACATGGACGAATTGGCTTCCCGAAGGCTTTTTTTCACCAACTGGCGTCATTCCGTCTGTCCGATTCCAGCGAGGAACAAGTTTGTTTTTCTATTTTATATTTTCTTTGTGCTTAGAAGTCTCTTCAGAGGTTGGACTGGTTTTACGGGGTAGGGTTGCTATCCCCATGCCCAACCTTCCCTCTTTACCCAGGCTTAGAACTGGCTAGTAACTAAGGAACTAGCTAACCAGACGAGGTTAGATACGATGGATGAAGATATCAAATCACTGATCAAAACACTTAAAGGAAACGGATATCCGTTTGAGTTTATAAACTTACATTCGTAGAAGTCAGGTAACATCGAAGCCAAATCTATACATGGTTCCTAAGAAAAGCATCCATATCACTACCACACAGAGTGGAGTTTAATATTATAATTCTGAGAGGTCGGATAACATCAACCATTAGGAAAATATATTACTCAGCTAATCTGATTATTGCTAAAAAGATGAAACACATGCTTCACCACAAACCTAAACACTGTATCAATGAATACGTCACAAAATGGTTTATACCAAGTTACATGTGTGTATGGTCACATATAATAGGGAGGAGTAATCGAGTCATACAGTTGAGGGTGGGAGAACATGTATCGAATTAACTTCAAAAACAAATGGAGTGTGAAACGTTGGATAAACGTAGGTGGGATACGACCCTTTTCACCTGTAGCTAAACATATAGAAACACGTCACAAAGTTAATACTCTTCAAGATAACTGGATAAATAACACCTTATTTACGATTGCGCATCACTTATCTAGGAAAAATAATACGAATGAATATACAGTAAAACTTCCACTGATAAAAATGATAAATCCAACAATCCCGTGGAAACTGAGAATAACAAGGAGATCGGTACTGGAAACAGATCCAGAAAGTCAGTAGTGAAGTTCCAAGCTTCCTTAACTTTAGTATGAAATAAACACACACAATAACAATAGTTACCTAATATTCCGTCTTTTCAAATAGTTATTTCATTTTATGAAAACCCCTGTTCAGAAAATTAAAAGTTTATTTATAGAAGATAAACAATTTGAGGATAACTTGAAGAAATCAATTAGACTCAAAACACCAAAATGTGTATACAATCATAAAACGAATGGAACTTAAATATTACAAACAATGAATCTCAATCAGTAATTAAGAGAATAACCTAAACCGTATGTCACAGAAAAGTAAAATATTAGGATTATTGATATGTACAAGAAATAGCATGCATAAAACTGGTATTAAAAAATTGTTGCGATTCAACCACAATCTACTTCACATTTTATAGCAACAAAAACGTGGAAAAATACAACAAATACGTTGATCCACACGCAAGTAAACCAAACATGAGACGTATGCTGAATTCGAAGCTGTTTTATCGATGGGAAAGTAATGTCACATAAAAGTGTTGAAATAAAATCTTACAACACAAAACTTAATTATCAGTGTAAATTTATGGAAAACATACACCTGCAACAAAATGATCAGACTTGACCTCAAGATAACCCACAGAAAGAATAATCTAAGGATAGCACTAACTACATTTCAAAATTTAAGTTAATAAAATTTTGAAAACTTCAAAAATAACTTTAATAAAGCAACGGAAAATCCTCATTTGATCATTCAGAAAGAAAATTGCTTACTTTCACAGCTGTATATTCGTAAATATACAAGTAAAATGATGGAATGTTTCCAGACAAGTTTCCGGTCAAAGGCGTATGTGGGAGATGAAACGATATTACGTAACACAAGATATGATATCTGGTAAGAATAAATAATATGTAATAAAATGTAAATAAACTAATAAAATACGAAGCAAAATGTAAACAGAGGTTCAGAGTATCTGCACAGTTTAATACACAATTGAAGCTGTGACTTACCAAAGCTTCCGCTGCACATAATTGTCTAGTCCTCACCCCTTTTGAACAGTTTAGTCAAACATTGTTGAGAACTTTGAACTTGTTAAATACACCTGATAAGGCCCAATGTGCTAATTTGTCTTTCGCGCACTGACAAACTAGGTGTTGACATGAGAAAATAATGCGGAGGTTTGTGGCGTAGAATGTTCTATTCAGGGACAAACGTTAACGAAGGATGTCTGCGGTGACATACCTCGTCAATGTATATTTGGAAGTTCACGTGCTCCTATGGAACTGAGTAAGCTGGCCACACTATGCGCACGCTTAAAAAACGAACTCGTGAACATCATCCAGCCTGGTTACTGAAAAGTGAGCACAAACCCATCTTCAGCTATACCGTTGAACATCTCGTAGACTCTGGACATCTGGCTCCTCTGGAAACCTCGTTTCAAAGTTGTCAATAGTGTTTGACTAAACTGTTCAAAAGGGATGAGGACTAGACAATTATGTGCAGCGGAAGCTTTGGTAAGTCACAGCTTCAATTGTGTATTAAACTGTGCAGATACTCTGAACCTCTGTTTACATTTTGCTTCGTATTTTATTAGTTTATTTACATTTTATTACATATTTATTTATTCTTACCAGATATCATATCTTGTGTTACGTAATATCATTTCATCTCCCACATACGCCCTTGACCGGAAACTTGTCTGGAACATTCCATCATTTTACTTGTATATGTATGCACAACTGTGAAAGTGAGTCGTCGAAGAGATAATTATCTTCGCTGTAACCTTTTTTTGCATTTCAACTCAATAAAGGTTTAAATTTATTTAAGACTGTACACTTTGCTGATAATGTTTGATTTTTTCAAAAGCAATTGAAAAGATTAAGGGATTATTTTCGAGAAAGTTACTATGAAATCAATTTTTTTGGAAAACATTTTCTCATCAGAGTGTAGGTTGAAGACCTAAGTGCTGAAGCTGTGCACTTAAATTAACTCGCTGATCATTCAGTTCAGCAAGTTCACACTGCATTTCATTATTTAAACGAAGTAATGTATGATTAACTGATTTAGCTTCACGGATCAAAGAAGATAGAAGACGACGTCTATGACTGCTGGATAATTCCGATAACAATGATATTCGACGACCGGTAATTGCGGATAACAATCGAACTGGATCAATATACCTATTTGAAATATAAAAAGATAATAAAGTCATTTATGATTCCAAAATTCAGGAGTTTCGTGAGTCTCAGTAAGTTAAAATGTTGTCTATTGAAATAGTAAGGCAGATATGAGAGATACCATGAATATGGATTAACTACAAATGACTTTTCTATATAAATAAGTCATTAGATACCCCTATTAGTCAATACAGTTAGTATAACGGTAAGTGGCAATAGTAGCACTAAGTAGATTAATGAATTAAAGGATCTTAAATATCCTGGTAAAGCCTAAAATACGACTGAGGTGAGTGTCATTCAGTCAACAGAAATAATCACTTCCGTTTAGGTGATAATGGGATTATTGCTCATCGAAATAGGCTCTTTACAATAAATCCCCACTTTGTCAGCTAAAAACAACTGCAAGGATTTTCTTCTGATTAGTAAATTCTCACCTGGAGTCCTTAGTCACTGGTTTCTGTTATCACGTTCACCTCAACCAAGAAGTCTACATTTCCCTACACGGCTCAGAGCAACGGCCAAAGAATCCATGTTTCAGTCTAGCCATTGTTGACCTTATTTCCAACTAACTAACTTCAGCTAACTTATGGGATGAGTCAGACAGTGACTCAGTATGTGTAACATATGTCCCAGTCATCTTAGTCGATAAAGGTTCACATCATCAACTGACGTGGTGAACATGAGCTGCTACCTTGATGTATTGGCTGGAACTGCAAACCAGAATGACCCGACGTGCTACGCTTATGGAACGCTACGCTTAATTCCTTGAGGTCCTACTATACCAGAAAGGTCTTCTGGATAGTGATAAGGCAAAAAGCGTTACCACTATAGTGTAAGTTGCTACGCTATGATGGGGGTCTGAGGGCAAAGTCGTACCACTGGCTAGACGGAAGTGTGACAGTAGTAAGGTGTCTCCTTAGGAATCCGGCCAAATCGGTTCACAGTGGACTCGAAAAAAGCAAGATCCAAGCTTGCGAAGAAGCCGAGTGCCCGGCCTTAATCGGATACCCTTGAACTCTGTAATCACCCACTAACCCTTCTCAATAAAACTAATCTTCCACGCCTCGGGAAGCCGGAAGCATTCAAGTCCTCTCAGATCACTGTTTACCTACTGCATCCTTATGTTCTAATCTTCCTTACGTCTTTCGGTTGATAATCCATTCTTAGTTTCTTTCAGCTCTGCAGCTCTCAACAACGATCTGCGCCCACAGAACAGCACTCTTGGTCTCCTGAAACCGCGCTCCAAATAACAGATTACAGCTTCCATATCCGCACACTGTCGACTCGGTCAAAAACTTTCATTAGCCAAAACCTTTGCAACTCCGGTCTTGGATCTGTCCTGTGTTTGTGAGAAACGCATAGAGGACTCAAGTGCAGTTATTTCCTTGACCTCAACCAGTCAGTATGGTGAACCCGAAAAATCCACCTTTCGAGTTTATGGAGACTCAATAGCCAGTTCTCGCGGTCTTGAAGGTGTAGGTTCAGTACTGAGCACCTAAAAGCAGTCATCTCTGTGCTGTTCGACTGAACGGAAAAGTATAGCGAAAGTCATCGCTATCTCTTTTCAGTCTCTGCTTACTCATCCACTGACAGCAGACCAAGCGGAGTAAATGGTGACCAGGTGAGACAACTGTGCCCAGACAACCATCTATTTTTTACCAGCAGGAAATTCCAACATAAACGGAGACTTAGACTGATGTGGCGTCCACCAGGGTCAACAACTCAGAGGTGGACATAGACACATTACATTCCTATTGCTGAAGAGGGTCGTCGGAAGACTGTCGCTCCCTCAGAAGCACATGTCTGGACAGCAACACTTGTATGTCTGTATCTCAATGGATGTAAGGAAACACTAGCAACAAGACAATTGCGATTACCGCTTGATAATGAGAGCTTAAAGACCATTTTCGGTGAGGACTGGCTCGACAGTTATCGGAACGGAACAAAATCACTCATCCAGAAGGAGCTCGGTTCCATCTCTAGTCTGCTGAGAAAAAAGAGATGAAGTTCGTGGCTGAATCTCATTGAGTGCTTAAAAAGAGCCAGTGAATAACAGTAGCTTTCCTTGAATTAGTGGATGCTCGTGGACGCATCCTTTCAGGCTCCGAGTACAATGAGGAGCGACTGCAACTCGGACGTAGCCTGACAAAAAATCAACGCAGTCACCCCTAACAGTGGTGGGCAGCGAAAGCTAAACAGATGGAAAAGGTAGAGGGGATAAGTAACGATGGACAGCTAATCAGACTTATAAAGACAACTGAAGCGAGAAATTCAATGCTTACTGAGACTATAGCAGAGAAGGTTACGTCCGCGATTCACTAGTAGAGACGACGATTGAAACAATTGAAGAAATACTCGAGGAATATTTCAGCTGATCCCCAACTACACTTTCGTTGCCCGCTATCCAAACGGATTTTGAATGAAACATCTAAATACGGCCACCAAAACTTGTAGGAGTCAATAAAGCTATAGGTAAACTAAAAAGAGGAAGACTAGTGCGACCAGACGGACTGGTTCCAGAGGTATTTAAAAACAGCAGTCAAGGTTTTCTAGCCGACTGAAGTCAAGAGTTAACTAGTGTATGAGAGCCAGATATGATCCGCTTTGACTCGACCAAAACATCTCATTGTTCCAGCCTTAAGGAAAGGAGAGAAGTCCACTCATGATAGCCACAGAGAAATCAGCTTGACGAACAGCATTGAAAAATATACATTAAATAATCAATTTACGTCCGAGAAAACCAGGCAGAGTATAGTGTTCGAACCCCAGAAGCCTTTTTATGTACTCTACGCATAATAGTCGTATTTCACAGCTATACAGTGGGACAGAGCGAACTGTAGCACAGTATACTAGACCCTTAATAGACAATCGGATATCACAGCGGCGCCACAGATAACTTCAGTTGTCAAAAACCAATCGAACTTTCTATATCTGCACAGGAATTTCGTCGGACACTGACCCACCAGGTCTGATCCGACTTTCCAGGTGAGTTAAGTGATCAGCAGCACAATCAACCACTTGACTACCTGTTGTCATACAAGGCACCACTGAAAACTAGACCTCGAACAACAATATGTATTTGAGTGGTGACGAGAAACGTATCTCAAACATTCTCGATTCGCCACTCAAAGTGTCCAGAAGACTGCATCTTGTCAGTTTTCACCTAACAGGACTATGTTATTTGAGTTTCCTAGATTTACCAAGCATTCTCCTGTGATGGGATCAATCCCTTTCAAGTCTAGGGTAGAATTATTAGGGATGGAGAAAGTGGGCATTCTTGCAAGACACCACTCAGTGTACACAGCTCACCTGATAACTCATCATGGACTCCAACACACGCAGGCAAATAAAAGGTCTTGATCGATGCAGTCGAATGCTGTACACATGTTGAAAAATACAGCAAGTGTTGGGTGTCAGTAAGTGAGTCTGTGTTCTGTAAGCTGGCGAAGTTTGAATATCTGGTCGATGCAATTACGGCACATCCTTACCTAACACGAATTCAATTTTACAAAGTTTTCGCCGGCAAGCAAAAACTAGGTGGAAGCCAGTTGAATTGTTTGTCGGAGTATTTCGGCATTTTTTTCGGTCATCTTTCGGGAGTGAATCAAAGCACGGTCTTTATCCTCTGTAGTTTTGTTAACCACTGACTTTTGCAAACCAGTTCCCCTGATAAGTTGGAATCAGTGTCTATTGTTGCATGTCGCGGTAGTTTCTTCATTGCACCACCATTCACATTGCGTCGATAATCTATAAGTTTATGTTATTTTCGTAAAGCTAGTGATAATTTTTTATTTATTTATTCTTTCGTTATCTAATATTTTCCTTCATGTTTCGCTAGTCTGTGGTAGCTTGGATGAATAAGCATTTACACTGGATCACATGTTATTTACATCCCTTTATCTCCGATCGAAAATGTTTACATTCGAAAAAACTTATTCACACGCTGTATTCACAGTTTAAAAATTAGAACAAGGTTTAATAGGTATACAATAACAGGGATGAATAGCCACTGGCTTCGACCACCCAAAAAGCAGGTATTATTTAAAAGGCGTTAACACAACTATTTTAGAAGCAGATATCGATGGACGTGTTTCTTGAATGCTGGAGAATGCATAGTCAATCTACGTTAAGTAGTATAATACCAAACCAATACTGCCGTAAAATGATCATGAGATAAATAAAATCTTTTCAGAAGTAGTACAACTTAATAACAACACACTAGTACGCATATAAGACTGACAGAGAAACCAATGTGAATTTCAATAATAATGTTTAACTGCCCCAAAAGACTTAACTGGTTGGACAGCTGAATAACACCATTATACACAAAAAAAATTTGAAACACTTTAACACAGTTCGTACACAGCAAATGATTGATCCCTAGTTAAAACAAACCTTCCAGTTCCGGTTTTGTCAATCTTTTCTTGAGTTTATTAATATACGGTTTACATGCTATAATGGCATCTTCCAATGTTAAACCTCGATGACCAAATAAATATGCTAAATGACTGGCTAAGCAGAACTCCTGCTTGTTTAAATAATTATCTCGATTTACATCAGCAATGAACCTGAAATTTAAACAAAAAAATATGAGTAAAAATCTAAAATATGCGGTATTTTCTTTAATATTCTGTGAATTTTCGCATGTTATAGATATCATCAAAGATACAACATACCTCTTTAACTAACTTTCAGGTAGAAGATGATTAGTAGAAAGACAGAGTCAGATAATACCATGAAATCCAGGACTTACTAGGTAAACGTCAGATTTGGTATAGAGCCGAAAGTAGAATTTAGGTGAAGACTTCATAGTCTCTTTAAAATGCGCAAGCTGAATGCGTCTGCATAACTTTCCTACTGAGAGTGGAACATAACTAAAATCATTTCTGAAGGGAAGTTACTTCTGTCTCTCCCTTAGCATAAATTATACAAATATTGATAGTCAGAAAAGAAATTTTGACGCAGGTTTAGTCTACCAGGGCTTAATCAGTGGGAGGGTTGTGAACTTTCACCACATGAAGTGAACAGAACATGTGTAATGCATACTAGACTATCAGACAAGACCGTTGTAGTAGAAACGGAGAAAATACGGTTTCTTAACCGCGTTTCGTTTTAGGATGATTGTGTGGGGTGTAATCATCATATGAGCAATGTCTAGGTTATGCGAAAGTCAGGAAAGTCAGTCAACAAGATTGTATGAATTACAATGAAAACCTCATGATTAAACCATACAGATCACGGAACACAACACCATCAAAATTATCCTCCTTAGCTACAAACATTCCCTATCATCTCAAAATCTAACAAGTGTAAAATGCTTCCTATTGTTCGGAAATGGGAGAACCTCACCAAGAGGAAGGCCTCCACAAGAGAACGTTATAAACGTTCAGTGACTGAGGTGTCTTGGACATGCGTTGCGCATGCTTTCTGTCTCACTACCATCTGACTGGCCAATATGAAATAGTGGGCGCTCCAAGGAAGAAGCGCTCCATCAGTATAGCCCGTTGCGCCATTGTAACACACAAACCCGTCAGTCAGGTCGACGGAGTAGATATCGGTCAGTTGATAGGTGAGTTGTAGATGTCGAAAGATGACCATTAAGAAGGTTCATTGTCACAATTCCTAATCAACTGTATCACTAATGTTCTTCGGGAGATCTCCCTCACGTCAACTGACACCACATCGATTGATCCCATCACAGGAGAATGCTTGGTAAATCTAGGAAACTCAAATAACATAGTCCTGTTAGGTGAAAACTGACAAGATGCAGTCTTCTGGACACTTTGAGTGGCGAATCGAGAATGTTTGAGATACGTTTCTCGTCACCACTCAAATACATATTGTTGTTCGAGGTCTAGTTTTCAGTGGTGCCTTGTATGACAACAGGTAGTCAAGTGGTTGATTGTGCTGCTGATCACTTAACTCACCTGGAAAGTCGGATCAGACCTGGTGGGTCAGTGTCCGACGAAATTCCTGTGCAGATATAGAAAGTTCGATTGGTTTTTGACAACTGAAGTTATCTGTGGCGCCGCTGTGATATCCGATTGTCTATTAAGGGTCTAGTATACTGTGCTACAGTTCGCTCTGTCCCACTGCATAGCTGTGCAACATGACCAACAAAAGTAGAGTGTATGAGAAGACTTCAAGTTTTTAATCACTGTTTCCTTAGTAACATAGGCAATAGGTCATCGTGTCACAACGTCAATGAAGCAGATGCCACGTCCATAGTTTTACAGAGGGGAAAGTTAGCTGATGATGCTGTGAACCCTTTATCGACTAAGATGACTGGGACATATGTTACACATACTGAGTCACTGTCTGACTCATCCCATAAAGTTAGCTGAAGTTAGTTTAGTTGGAAATAAGGTCAACAATGGCTAGACTGAAACATGGATTCTTTGGCCGTTGCTCTGAGCCGTGTAGGGAAATGTAGACTTCTTGGTTGAGGTGAACGTGATAACAGAAACCAGTGACTAAGGACTCCAGGTGAGATCAGAATCGGTGTCAGTGGCGCAGATGTATCTGCACACTTTCTTCATCTTACTTGTCATACTGGATGCAGTAATTTCTTATTCCTCCTTATTATCTTAGTATGATTTTCTACCACTTTTGACCGCTTTATTCTTGATGTTTTCTAATCTTGCATTACATTGGTGTTTTACTTGATGTGTTAGTATTTGGTGTGGCAAGTTGAATCTTTATGCAGTAATGGGTAGTCCTATGTTGATCTTGTCTGTCCGATATCGGTCACTGCTCGCTAGCCCTAGATACAGTTTGAGAAACGTAGAGGTGGCGTGTGTGCCAATCGGGTTGACATCTGCATGTGAATCAAGACCCACTTGATGCAGTCTGGAATCTATGCAGCTCAGTGGCTTGAGACGATAGCAGATAGTACCCAAAAATCGCAATAAGTGGCGATTATGTTACAGTCTTGTTGTTTCTTGTAATACAGAAAAGTAAACGAAAGTAATGGGTGATTTCGTGTATTTGTGTTTAAGACTGAATTTTCTAAAACCCCTTTTCTGTTCTTGTTTCTATTCCCTAAGAGTTGTTATATTATTTTACATAGCTGATCTCTCGGTTAATACTCTGCACTAAGTTTATTTTTCTAATAAAATAAAATTAATGCTGCGATCAACTTCCAAAGAACGTTACAACGAGGAAACAATTTCTACACAAGCTCGAGCACGCGGTATGCAAGCAAACAGAGAACGAGTGACACTAAGATAGAGACTTGAGTATTAGAAATGAAGGCTAAAAAATATATTAAAAACCTTGCGGATCCCAAAGAGTTTATATACACGTGCAGCATTGTAACCAATTTTATGCCATTTCACCAAGCATCTACAAACATTCATTCCTTTAACCTCAACAACTGTGGTAAGGCCGTTTTCACTCGTGCACAATGCGCCGATCAATCGTCAAAGACTTCATAGGATGCTCCCAAGTTTTAGTCTCGTCATCCTGAAACCTCTTCCAACCTTATCCAACTTCCACCAGTATACCACATAGAAGTAGGCCATGGATCAATATATGTAACACCTGTCCGTGACACCTCAGTTGCTGAAGGTTCACAACCTCATTGGCTGACTTATTTTTCTTGCCTAGTACTTCTGGGCTAATCTCGCCGTCAATCATACGGTGATTCCACCATACGCGAAAAATTCTACAAAGATATCTGTGATCAAAGACCTGTAATCGCTTCATATCTCCTACTTTTAACGTTCATGTCTCACAGTCATAAAACAGGACAGAACGAACTGCAGCGCAGTATACTTTGATCCTTTGATAGGTAGTCGGATATCTTGCTGGCGCCAGAGATGAAGTGAGTTGGCAAATGCCAAACGGATCTTTTGAACCCGAGCTGAGATTTCGCCAGTATCCAACTTGTTCGGGCTGATACGATTCTCCAAGTGAAGTGGCGGATGCAATCCGCCATTCCACTCCCTATCTTCCAACTAGGAGCAGTTGTAGACCAGTTCCGGAGCACTATCTTACATTTGACAAGTATGAAACTCATACCAAACATGCTCATATCTCTGCTATACGCAATCAGAAGACCCTGCATTTTTTCAGCGTCTTCACTTAGCTGGACAACATTGTCTGCGTACTTCAAGTAGACCAGATGACCTCTATGGACCTCTGAGTTATGTCTGTCAGTACATCTACGATGAAATTGAATAGGAACAATGAAAACAGGCATCCATAGTGGAAACCACCAGTTGTCGTCACATTACATGACAAATCCCCTTAGTAGACTGAATCCTAACCGATAGTTCTTATCTTGACACAGTGGTCGGGCTTGTATATCCCAATGACATAATGAGCTACACTGGTTGGAACGCTTGCTCCTTCAAGGTTTTACCACAGCAGAAACAGTTTTTGAATAATGGTGAGACAAATAGCAGTTACCGATGCTGTGTAGATCGATACACTATGATGGAGGTATAAGAGTAAAGTGGTACCGCTGGATGTGCAAGAATGACAGCAATAAGGTGTTCTCTGAGGATGGCTAGCAGTGTCTCGGTGATTTTTTCCTCCTTACGGCAAGGGGACGGGTAGAAAAAGTCGACTCAAAAAGTAGCACAGTTTTCCCTGTCCTATGGTCTTTCGGTGGCGATGGCATGGGTTTATACTCCAGTTCAGTCTGTTTATTAGAAATGTCACACAGTAAAACAGTATCATTTACTAGATATCGTTTCGGACACAATTTATTGTCCATATTCATATCAGGTAACTCCACAACTTCGGGACAGACTTTATATATTCCTAATTTTTTCTCCTTCTCTGTGATAAGAAGGGTAGTAGGATTTTCCATATATCTGGGACAGGCGCAGAATTATTTCGACTGCATGTATTTCGTGTTGATTCGATAAACAAAGATTCGGTTATCAATCTCTCCCTCCACCTAACTATGTTGGTTTTCAACACACTCCACCCTAACCCCACCCTATTGTGTGATTGTTTGTCATCGCATGCAGAGCTATAGCCGAGTTTTTCTCTAGATTTCTTATCTTATTAGGATCTACTAACCTTGATTTAGCTAAGTTTTTGTGCTCTGTTATTCTAATCAAACTGGGTCGACTATTTTGACCTATGTATTTGACCTTGCAATCATATAAACTCTGTCTCGAAGTTGTGGAATCATCTGATATGAACATGGACAATAAATTGTGTCCGAAACGTTATCCATTAAATGATACTGTTTCACTGTGTGACATTTCTAATAAACAGAATAAACTGAAATTACAATCAACCACAGTGCCCAAGTTTTACTCCTATACTAATGGGTTTATACTATCTGAGAGTAAGAAAAATCAAGTCTCATACCAATAATCCTCAAAAAGCTGAGACAGGCCTGAAGCAGATTTCCAACGAGCTCTGCGGCTACACAAATCTTTATTTATTTTCCGTACCCCAAAGAAACAACTTCGGTAGTATTGGCAACGGGGGAGTCTCAACCAACAGACACGTTTCCAGTAGTCTTGTCTATCTGTCTGACTGACAAGGATGAGTGAGTGTGGATAAAGAGCTTTGATTAGTTTTACATACCCGCTTTCTTATGTCT